CAAAGGAAATCTGAGTATTTTTGAGATGACCAAAAGTATTTTTAATCTTAACACGAAAATTACTTTTCACACTGACTATTCAAAACAAATACTCAATATATTCATGGACAAAACTTTATTTTATTAAAAATACTTCACTAAGAAATATGACTTTTTGTATGAGAAAGACTTGTAATATTAACTGTAAAGACTGCCAAAGTTCGTGAAGATATACCCAATATATAGAGAGTTATACGTATTAAATTTATATCAACTTTAAACGAGTAGAAAAAGGTCACATGACTCAGCCAAATTGATCATCCCCTGTGTTGGGAGAGTTAAATAATATGAAATTGCACATGACTATAGTTTTATTGCTAAGCATGTAGCTATAGTGACATATTTCAAGAGTATTATGTACTTGCATACTTTCATAAAGTAGAAGCAATGAAAAAGTCTGGGTAGAGCTTTAACAAATAAATTGTATATCAAAGAAAATTCACACAGTAAATAATTCATTTTCTTCATTTACTAACTAAAGGTGTTTTGGGCATTAAAATAATTATGTGCAGCCATGTGATTTAAAGTTATCTGGGTTAATACAATCAGTTTTAAACAGTGAATACATAAATTCGGTACTGTATATAACAATAAAAGTGTTATTACTGAAAAAGAATATTCAAATTTAAAAGTAATTTCTGACTATTACTTTCAACTGATTTGGGTATATATTAACGTATGTCATATGAAATATGCTAAATACCACTCTGTATTCTATTCTAATTCATGCCATGTGTTTGTGAATTTGTTTGTCTCCAAACTCTTCCTAGAGTTTTGAAGCTAGAAGGAGACAAAACTTGACTGGGAAAATTGGGGTAGCCCTCAACCAGGATTTAAAATGCACTTGGAATGTCATCAAATATGATGGGGGGGGGGGGTTCGGTCTAGGAGTAGATTTGCAAGGTTGTTGAACTTGAATTTGGCAGTGGACCTTGTGTTCTTAAACCCCTTGGAATCATTTTTGAAACTGTATTCATATCCCCACTCACAAGCTAGTGAAACCAAACTTGGCACAGGTGCTTGGGTATTGCAAGGGAATTGGGTCCCCCTTGGAGTACCTATAGAAGTAATTGGGGATAATGGAGGAGCTTGGTTAGTATACTGGAGTCTATGTGAATCTGAACCCTGCATCAGAGCACAGGTATTTTATGCTAGTCATACTAATATTGAGAATAAAAAGTTGCTGACAAATGAAGTAATAGTGACTTTGTTTAGTGTATCCTCTTCTAAGGAATAGGGCAAAGTTAGATTTTGAATAAACAAACAATAGAAAAAATTTGTAAAGATTTCTAAATGATAGCTACTCATATACTGCACTTAAAGAAGCCTTATTTGTGGACTGCATTTTATTAACTCTTTTGCTATGAGGTCGGTCAATTTGACCATCCTCGTAACCATTTTGTACACATTTTAGGTTCCATACTATTAACTTTTAATACAGTATGGCATCTTCACAAAATTTGGCAAACTTTTATGGAATTATTTTCAGTAAAGTTTCGTCCATGAACATATAGTCTTTTTTCAAGTACAAGTGCAAATTAATTTACACATTAAGATTAAAAATGCTTTTCTCCATCTCAGAAATCTCAAATTTCATCTGCATAATCTCTTAAACCTCCTAAATAAATTTTAATTTTTTTTTAAGTAAAAACATTATATTTTATATGTTGTTTTCTCTAACAAGTTTATAAAAGGTTGGTCAAATTGACCAATCTTGTAACCACTAAAAAAAAAGGAATCTAAATTACACCCTTTTTTCTTCTTTCTAGAACGACTTCAAATTGTAAAATGAAAATACATTTGTTTATCCTAAATAGCTTTAAATTTGTAACAGTATACATCTTTTTATACTTACATTTTATTACTTTATTGTCCATTGAACCATGTCTAACAACTATTTATGCCATTATAACTATAAATCACCTGACGGCCATGCAGTTCATGTTATGCTATTGAATTACATTATGGAAGAGCTACTCGCGAGCGTATCTCATGAAAATTTATTATAATCATATTATTTATTTTACTTAATCTAACCTTAACTAGCCTCAAAAGTTTCTAATTTTTACATTCTAATTATTTTTATAATAATAAATAAAGATTACACATGGAAAACAAGAAATAAACTACACTAATGGTAGTACTGCACTAATTTTTTTAATTAATTAAATAATGCAACAAATAATATGCAGATACAGACAATGTCCCATACATATCACAATTTTTCTGCCTTTCTAACTATGCAACAAGAGTTTTTAAAAATTCAACTAAGCTAATTGGTATGTTTCCATTGGGAATAAAGCTTGAATTGAAATTGACAATTCTCTGTACGGAAAATAACGTAATATAATACACCTGCTATTGGTTATAAATATTATAGTACTTAATGTCAGAGAGAACTATTGGCAATTTCTGAGTGACAGGTGGGTGTGGAAAGAAGGGTCTAATTTTCTATTTGATGGCTCTATAACAAAATAAGATTGAAGGTAATAAAATTATTCTTTGCCTCAGCAAATACATTATAATGAGTTAAGCTTTCAAACTGAAGATCAACCATATATTACTCTGTCCTGAAAACTATAACATTATAAGTTTGGTATCAAATTGTACATATATAATTCAAATTTTAGTATTATACATTACTTAATTACACAGAGCACGGCTAAAATTACAAACATTGTTTAGAAAATTATTCAGAAAGTTACAGAGAAAATGTTTGTTTGTTTGGTTTGGATTTCGTGCAAAGCTACATGAGGGCTATCTGTGCTAGCCATCCCTAATATAGCAGTGTAAGACTAGAGGGAAGGCAGCTAGTCATCACCACCCACCGCCAACTCTTGGGCTACTCTTTTACCAACAAATAGTGGGACTGACCGTCACATTATAACGCCCCCACGGCTGAAAGGACGAGCAGGTTTGGTGTGACGGGGAATCGAACTCGCGACCCACAGATTGCGAGTCGAGCGCCCTAACCACCTGGCCATGCCGGGCCCCAGAGAAAATGTTTTTTGGATTAAGATTATTTGCAACTTTTGTCTATAAACAAAATTGTCTGTATATCATATTCTTCAATTTAATCATTTCCATCATCCAAAAAGGTTTGTTTAGTTGTATTTTAGCAGCTTGATTAGTATCCTATAGTTTAGTAATAAAAATCAATAACTTCAGTTTTGGAACAACTTTTTAGGATCACTAACTTGAATCGTTTTAGAATATAACAAATTTGAAAAATATCTATGAAATACACAAGAAGGTAAAAACTAATGACATTTCGTTTATTAACACAGCAGATTAATGACTATTTACAACCACAAGTTTTTGTTTAAACAACTTACATGAAACATGTAGTTTCCTTCTAGTGCTTCAAGATTAGGCAGTTCAGGCAAATTATGAAGCTTGCATAACTCCTGAAGTAGAATTCGGACTTGTGGTAGTATCTATTATGAAAGAAAAAAAAAACACTATAACCCCATCCTATAAAATTAAAGTAGCAAAACCATACATGGCCTATAGTTTTTTAGCCAGAACATTGTAATTAATAGTATACAAAAGGTTTATGATTTTCAAGATACATTTTCTATTTAAGATTTATCTAGTATATACATGTTGAATCAGTTTTCATGAATTTTTCCTTCATTTACTTTTGGTAAGCTAGTTATGGCAAAAGAATAACAAGATGTTTTATTTCAAATAAATTACAGCTACTATCTAAAATGTTACAAATAATTTATAAAGACTGTCTACTTTGGAGCCTAATAATTTCAGAGTATCATTTATGTAACCTTGATGCCATACTTATTTTACTCAGTGTTTTCTTGGACATTACAAGTCTTTAATCTATACATGTATATTTTATTTAGAGAAAGCATACCCCCCCCCCTGAAAAAAAAGAAAAGAAAATCATGAAGAAGTTTCTGAAAATACCTACAAGCCTCATTCCAGATAATATTACTCACTAACTTCCAATCAGGTCAAGCTGTCTACTACATGGATCAAAACTAACAATCTGTCCAGTAATAATAAAACTAATCCCACATACTTTTCTCACATTCTTACTTCTAAAGATTAGAATGCATTGTTTCAGCAGTTGGGTAACCTCACTGTTAATTATATTTTTGGCTGAAAACCTAGTAATATCTCAAGTTTAAGCCAGCTTGGGAGATTTAAGTTAGTCCTAAATCAATATACTAAGCTAACAATGTAAAAAAAAAAAAAAATCTCTAAAATTAAAGTATTACAATAAGAAAAAATAACAAGTGCAAATTGTATTTATAAACACCTATGCCCCACGAATGTTATATGATAAGCTTAAGTCCCCCAAGTTTTATAATGTAGTGACTACCTACAAGATTGGGAGTAGAGTTTTTATGTACCATTTGAAACATCCATCTAACCTTGAGATAACCTACTCACAAGACTGGGACAAATTCACAAACAGATGGAAAGACAGGTGCAAACCAGTATGTCCCACTCTGCTATGCTTCACAGTGAAAACATAATAAAATCATATACATATCAAACATTCTAGCCAGTACTGTTAACCTGTTACCTGCCATGGCCATTTTGATCTTTTCGTGAGGGCAGAATCACATTTGTGAATTGAAGAAAATTATAGTGAAAACTTATCTTTTATTGGATTTCAGATTTTATTTTTGTAAATAGTAGCATAACATTCAATTATTTATACAAAATTGTGTTATTTAATGAAGTTTAAAGAGGAATTCAATAAAAAAAATCCTAAAATACATTTTAGACTGTAAATAAGCACCCTCTGTGAAGAAATTTTTTTTTCAAAATTAAAAAAGAATTTTTCTTTCCACTTCAGCACTGGTCCTGCCATCTATGATTGGTATCTAAACCTTTTTGTAGTCTGTTTTCTTTATAAAACAGCATCTGGGCACGTTAAACCTCAGATGTAAAACTTTTAGCCAATCCTAGTCGAAGGTGTCAATTTCAGTACCATGTTATTCCAATCGCTGTATTTCACGTTTGACAAATCATAGGATAAGGAAAGCACGTGACAAAATGTTGTTCTC